GAATAATATAACATTGTCGGGTTTAATTTGCGTAATATATTTAGCCTTTAGACCAGCCAGTCGATATTGCAGAGCAATGATGTGGTCTCTGGGGGCTTGTTGTAGAAAGGGATGGGACGGACAAACTGCTGATTGTGTATGTTGGCTGTTAGACAGCGACATTGCTCACGGGTACGTGGGTGTGGTAGGAATACATATTTTGGGTGGCAATGCGCTTCTCACTGCATGGCACAACTGGCGCCACAGTTGGCGCTGTCAACTGTTGCTTCTGTTAGTTAATGTTCTCGCAAGCCGGTAGTATTGCTAGATACTAGTGTTGCCGCGTGTGATGTTGCGAGTTGTGGTGCTGTTTATGTGTGTGTGTGTGTGTGTGTGTGTGTGTGTGTGTGTGTGTGTGCGTGCGTGCGTGCGTGTGTGTTGTTGTTGTGTGTTGTTATTGTTGTTGTTGTTGTTGTTGTTATTGTTGTTGTTGTTGTTGGTGTTGGTGTTGTTGTTGTTGTTGTTGTTGGGCGGACGTGTTGAAAGCGATTACTGTAATAAACTTCCTATTTTAATCGCAATTAAATTCAAACAACTCAAATCATCCCTTTTTAATTGCGATTAAAATGTATTTGAGCGCGTAATCTATCCAATCAGAATCCATCCATCGCAATATAAACCAACAATAATAGCCAATCCAATGACGCTATACATAATGCTATGCTTCCATACACAATACATACATAATGAATTCAGTCCCAATTGAACAACCAAACATTTAAATAATGAGGGACCTTTATCATTTTAACTGTAGGCTACGTACCATTGCTGATAAATACCTTGAACTTGCACATGCATTGTGCAGCATTGACGGAGTTTAATCACGGATTAGAAATCAACGCCTGTGTTCTATATCATTTAAACACGCCTAACATTCATTGTATGGCAATTAAAATAGACTGCTCTGATTTCTTGAAAGCTTATGAGATTAAAATCTATGTAAAACACAAAATGGATAGATAGCGGCAATGGCTTTCTACAGAGGCTTGGCTTGAGGCGCTTGTTATCTAGATGTTGCATGTGCGACACGATACTGACTATGCTGGTGAGACTATTCCCTCCCTTTAGTATTCGTCTATTATACGTAGTATTGCTAACTGGTTTTAGCATTTTTACACGTAACGTTTCACTGACAAGGGGGTCTGGGATGCAATCATTATTTCTGCATTTTCCCTGATATAGGTTTGCCACGTCTGCGTACCGACGAATGGATACTTTAAGTGTATGGGCTAGATAATACGTTTACTACTAGAATATATCGTATTTCTCTCATATTTGTTGCGTAATTATGGATACAGATTTCTCATTCCGCTTTCGCACAACTATCCGTAGTCGTATTTGCCTTCCACGTGAAAGCAGATCACGCTTTTATGGCGACTTTAATGCTTACAACAAATATATTATATCAATTGAGAGTGACTTGTAAATTGACTAAATAAACACCATGTAGGCAAATGCACACAAATGTTGCAAAGTAAACGCACAGTGTGATATTCTTCTTCATCTATGAGGAAAATTGGTACTGGCTTCTCTAGTACCTGCCTCTCATTTCCTTGAACATTTGATATTGTCAGATTGCAGTTTCTACGCGAAATGTTCACCATCAATACATGGTAGTATAACACTTATTTATTATATTATATTACTAGGGCCTACTTATATTACAACCATTATTATACTATAATGTGTAGCGAATTCGACCCGCCGTACAACATACACTATAGCATGCGTCAGCATTACTTCAACCTTGAAGGCGTACGGCTTCGTAGCCACGTGGGCTATCTGCGGATTGGAAAGGAAAGCCATGCTGCACCACTTGACCTATAGTTTAATTGGACGGGACACCTGCAGGTCACACGTGGGGTCACATGACTGTGACCACGTGGTGTCCCACGGCTGTATATAAGCTGCGGCGTCCAGCTTGGCTCAGTCAGGGAAGCTCGCACCCTCCCACTGCTTTCTAGCTGCTTGCATATATGCTATATTTTGAATCACGCCAGATCGCCATACAACCAATGATTCAGTTTTGTGAGGGCATAATTATGTGCTTTATGAAGAAATAAACTAATTCTAGATTACTAGATACTATATTATATCATTTCATCAATATATTACTTATAATAACGTAATCTAGGTAGCTAAGATAAGGACCTTGATCATTTTTACGTAATAACTTCAAACGTAATGCTACTACTTTGAACGCTAAAGATAACCGTATTTAATTGCATTGTTGCGTGTGCATGAGCGCTCGCATATTGTAATCTTCCAAATGCAATATACCGCGATATCGTGTGCTATTCCGACGGTCGCTTGTCGATCTCAACATAATTATAGGCCTACATACATGTATGTATATTAAGGTTCCTGGTACGTTTGATGATTCACTGAACGTGATACTTCCCAGCTGTAAACCACTTGGTTATGTCATTGTTTCTCCTTATTATTCTAATCCAATATTATTTTTCTAATAATATTATTATTATATTATTATCCTTATCATTATTATTATTTTCGTTTGTTAATTTGATTTGTAGGCTCCTGAGTAATCCCAGCTCGGTCACTATTTATCAATGATTCCGTCTAGAAGTCTGTAATGTGCACAGTCCATCAGCATGGTTCTTATTATAGAGCGGCTGCGACAGGCAGCAGATAAGAAGCCTGAGCTAGTGTCAACATCTGTCATCGTCCGTCATATATGGCTGGGGCGTCGGACACTACCAACCCTAATCAGGCGCGTCGCGAAAAATATCCCTGATTTAAAATGAATCCTGCGCGAATGTAGTTGCTTGTCAACAGAAACTAGAGTCCACGTGATGGCATGTATGCCCAGCGTAGAGAGGCCATGCGACAGCCTGGGTCCGTTGTCAGAAACAAAATTTGACTTAACATTGGTCTTAACGTTAACCTTTTCTCGTAAGCCGGGCGTCTATAGACTGCGTGTAAGAAACTTGTTACTTTGCCTTGTTATTGTCAACGGTCTATGAGAAAAGGTTTACGTTAAGACCAATGTTAAGACTAATTTTGTTTCTGACAAGAGACCCCTGGTTATGTGTTGCATATAAGCAAGCGAGTCCATAATAGAACATTTTTCTAAAAAAAAAACAAAGAAATTTTCTATTATGGACTCTTCATATAGGCCTAGTGAAGTAAAGCAGGTCACGTGTTCTATATCATATATATATATATATATATATATATATATATATATGTGTGTGTGTGTGTGTGTGCGCGCGCGTGCGTGCGTGCGTGCGGGCGTGCATATGTGAGTGTGCGTGTGTGTGTGTGTGTGCGTGCGTGCGTGCATGCATGAGTGCGCGCGCGTGTGTTTATGTGTATGTGTGTGTGTGTGTGTGTGTTTGTGTTTGTGTTTGTGTTTGTGTGCGTACGTGTATGTGTTTGTGTGCGTGTGCGTGCGCACGTGTGTGTGCGCGCGCGTGCTCGCACGCGTGTGCGTCCTATATGCCTAGAAACATTGCGTTCAGCAAGGACTTAGCAGCTGCTACTGAAGTCAAAACCAGCGTATATTAGTCGCGGTGAGTCTACCGCATTAGCCGCGTTCACACGTAGCAAGAAATCCGGTATTTAGCGTTCACACGAGGCAAAATGCGCGGTCAAAGAAATACGGTATCTAAACAGATCCGGTATTTCATGTAAATACGAGGCTTCCCAGACCCCGAATAATTTGCCGTACTTGAGAAATACCGGATCTTTTGGACCGCGCATTTCCTCGTGTGAACGCTAAATACCGGATTTCTGAAGCCGCGTATTTTATAGACTGGTCCGCGCTCGACAGTTCCAGTGTAACCTGTCGAGCGCGGACCAGTCTACGTATTTTATCGGCAGTTGGTGCGCATTGCATTGTTTATTTCGCATTGTTCGCTTAATTGTTTAAAGCAGCTCGCAGCTCGCAAATACCGTATTTCTGGAGCCGCGAATCAGCGTGTGAACGCTCGGCCGCGTATTTGTCTCAGATTCGGTATTTCGCAAATACCTTATTTCATAAATACGAGGTCTCGTGTGAACGAGGCTATAGTTAGAGTGGTTCACTTGTGCGATATTTACACGTGCTGACGTCCCTGTAGCTCCGTCACTCCGTCAGTGTGTGTTGCAGTATTTATCAATATACTAGTAATTTCCGGTGAAACGGATCTTAGTTGTGTAAATAGCATACGGAGACGATTTTCTGGAATTTCCATTTTTCAGATATATACGGATACAGCTATATTACCTCGTTTGTAAGTTTAAGTCGGGTTTTCAGGATTTTACGTCAACTATAAAAGAGTAACTCTATCATATCTATCCGACCTATTTGATATTTGTACAGATATGCAAGGGCAAATAAAGACCAGACAGCGTATTTCCTAAGTGTCGTGTTTGTATTTTTCAGCTAGGCGCACGTCTGACAAATTCATCGAACCCGCGAACTCGCGGCGACCGACCCCACGCCTAGCGTGACGTCACAAAGAGTAATTTTCGACCTCTACTAGACCGGCGGAAATTAGCCAGCGTGTCCGTGTGTTTGCTCTGACACAAGTTTGCCGCGTGACGTCATCATCCGCCCTAGCACCGTGTTGACGCTGCATGCGATTGTAGCGCCTCTTGGTGTCCACGCTGCCGGTGCACGCAAGACAGAGGTAGAGAGGGTGTTTCGAGAGGAAGTGAGTGAGAGAGAGAAGAACGCCGCAATAATTTCTCGCTCGGTTGATACAATTTCTAATTCGACTAAAGTGGCGCTGAATTGACGCGATGGTGAGGACGATTCAGACTGCGGCCTTCGCCTTTGTGCGTCGGCTCGGCGCTCACGCACGTCCATGAGAGCACGGCGACAGCGTCATTAGCTGCAGCCACCGTCGACATTAATAGACTATTCATCTCGCCGGCGAATAACGTCATCGATTGTGCGCAGGTCACGTTCCGTGCTCGTTCGCACGGCTGTGACAGCGTGAAAGCCTTCCCCGCGACACCCGCCGTGTCTCTACCTTCCCAAACGGCGTATCGCAGTCCCTCCCCCCCCCCCACTTTCCGCTGCCGCCACGCACGCCGACAAAACGTCAACCTGATTGGTCTCAACACGTGCGAACGCGCGAGGTATTGTGGGTCAGCCGCTAGACAGCCGAATGCGGCGGCGAAGTGTGACGCGCTGTCACGTGGTGATATACTCTGACGGCTGGCATCAGAACAGCCGCTAATGTAGAACGTACTCGGCCGCGCCGGTCCGGGCTTGAACCACGGACATTTAACGTTAATTAAAACACAGCGTGCAACGAAGGACAAATATCGAACAGGTTAAAAGGCAAGTAAACATGAAATCGTAATTAATGTGTTTTCATGATCTGACACGGACACCACGTGCGTTATTGATGTGTTTTGCTCGGGCACCACATGCGTTATTGATGTGTTTTAGTTTGACACCAGACGCGGACAAACACGTGCGTTATTGATGTATTTTTATCAGACGGCACTGCGGGCCAAACACGCGCGTTATTAGGTTTCTGTCAGACAAGAATTTACGACTACAAACTTTATTAAGGCGTTATTAGTGTGTGAAGACCCGTCGTCCATCGAACCCTTATCGAAAATAATTTGACAAAGTTCCACAATATCGCTAAGAAGACAGATCAAGCATGTCATCCGTAAGCGCCAACGCGTCGGATCTCGCGACCGGCGCCGACAACGATGACGTCGGCTACGAGTACTTCCGGGACCTGATGCGCTTCGTCGTGCAGCGACGCTGCATTCCTATCATCGCCAGCGTCGGCATCGTCGTCAACTGTCTGTCGATGGTTGTGCTGACCAGGAAGCGCATGCGCTCGTCGACCAACTGCTACCTGACGGCGCTCGCCTTCTTCGACGCCGCCTACCTGATGTTCAACTTCTCGCTGGCGCTCATGCACCACGAGGGCTTCCTCGAGCGACGCTCCTACATCGACTACGTGCCGTGGGGCTTCCCGCTGACGGACCTCTGTAGCAACACGTCCGTCTGGCTCATCGTCTCCTTCACCGTCGAGCGCTGTATCGCCGTTTGCTACCCGCTGCGCGGTAAGCGCATGTGCACGATCAAGCGCGCCAAGTGGGTCATCGTCGGCGTGTTCGCCGGAGCGCTCGCCTGCTCCCTGCCGACGTTCTTCGAGTGGAAGACCGGGCCGGTCGAGGACGCCGCCGAGAACGCCACCTATCACGCGTTCTACCAGTCGGCGCTGAGTCGCAACGAGACGTACCAGCGCGCCTTCTACTGGTTCACGTCGCTCATGTTCAGCCTCGTTCCCATCGTCATGCTTATCGTCTTCAACTCGATTCTCGTGCTCTCCGTGCATCAATCGCAGCGGCAGCGGCGCCAGCTGACGAGCAAGGGTCGCGGCGGCGGCGGCGGGTCGTCCGACAACCAGCAGAATCAGGAGCTACGCATCACGATCATGCTCATCATCGTCGTCGTCGTGTTTCTCGTCTGCCAGCTGCCGTCGGCCGTGCTGCTCATCTGGTCGAAGGACATACCGGAGCGCACGGCGAGGGAGAATCTCGGCATCGGGCTGAACAACATCAGCAACCTACTGATGGCGATCAACGCGACGTGTAACTTCTTCCTCTACTGTTTCCTCAGCGACCGCTTCCGCCGGACGTTCGTACAGATCGTCTGTCCGGGCTGCCGCTCGAACTCGCCGCTGCACACCTACGTCGCCGGCATGACGACGTCGGCGGGCGGCGGCGGCCACGAGCAGACGCCTGGCGGCCGCCGCGGGCGGCTGCAGGGAGGAGAGAACTGCGGGAAGAAGGCGTCGCCGCAGCCGTCCCCGCGCAGCAGCTCGCCGCCGCGCGCCAACAACAGCTATCATCCGCTGAATGCTGCGCAGCCGAACGGCAAGCCGAGTCGACGCTTCTAGCGCGCGGGCGACGTAGTTAGCAGTAGCTGTAGTCCAGGTATGCCTACAATAACCGGAGATGTGTGTACGTGCGCGCCCGTATGGGCGTGCGCCCGTATGTGCGTGCGCCCGTACGAGCGTGCGTGCGCGCTTGTATATGCTTGCGCACGTGCGAACGTGAGTGTGTGTGTGTGCGTGCGCGTAGCGTGCGTTCGTGCGTGCCTTGATCAGCGCGTATATTTATGCAAGTGCATTACACGTACACGCACAGATGTAAACGCGTATGCTATATATACGCATGCGCACCTGTATACGCTAAATATATTTCTAATTCTATACGTCTAATTGTTAGACAGTCCATCGTCTCGGTGCAATTTTAAAACGGTGTAAGCACTAAGCAGTTAACGATAACCGTATGTCGCTGGTTGTCATCTCTGCGGTTAGGCCTATATTCAATTCTCACTTATACGCAAAATGAAAGCTAGCGGCGCATTCAGCTAATCAAGCGGAATCTTGCCCCGCGCAGAATTCAGCGCGAAATTAACCCACATACAAAGTAAAACGCAGCGCGGTTTAATTACAGCAAATTAAATATGAAAAGAAATGAATTAGCCAACATTGGAATTAAATCAGAATTCGAATGAGCAGAGATAATTAATTTTGCACGAAGCAGCGAGCGTGAGAGCGACGTGATTATCATTTCGTGGAATGTGCATGCGTTCACTCTCCTATAATTACGTTTTGGGTTTTCGGCGCTTCGTGGTGTTGGCTGAGATGGGAGCTGTATGGGCCACATAATGGGTAGCCCGAGTTCACATAATGTCAGGGGCGCAAATCCAGGGGGGGACAGGGGGACATGTCCCCCCCCCACGAATTTTCAGAGGGGCCTCATATCAAATTGTCCCGCCACGATTTTGGATTCACCATGATTTTGTTCATGTAAGTGATGTGTGTGTTGTGTGTGTGTGTGGGTGTGTGTGATGTGGTGTGTGTGTGTGTGTGTGTGTGTGTGGTGTGTGTGTTGTTGAAGTGAGACCTTTCTATTGTGTGTGATAGTGCTACAACACGATTGGCTCGTTTGCCCTTCTTTTTTTGCAGCTTTCATTTATTCAAGTGCAATTTAGAGGTAATACACTGATCATGCCACAACTTAAGAAAAATGTGTCTTGATAAATTTAGTACCGTTACTTTTTTAACACGTTTTTTTTTCTTATAATTAATAATTCTATAGCACAAATCATCAAGAAAAGTTGTTTTATGAATTTTCGGAATATCAACTCACATTAGACACTGATCAAGATTAAGCTGGAACTACGAGCTATATTCGACGCAAAGGAAGGACATCTGAGCTAAACTGAGCATCGGGGTTTAATATGTAATTTTTATTGAAATTGCATGATATATATATGTTAGCACCATATATATGATATGACAGCTTATTGATAGCTCCGATATGACTGGACCAACAATAATAACCGACCAATTTATTTGTGATCAGCGCTCAACACAAATGATTTGGTTTTCTTGCTTTTTGTATTCTTGATTTATCTGACTGCATGGGATACGCTTCTCGTAATCTTATCCACCAACCAATGGCATATTTGTTGTGTGTGGATGTGTGGTGTGTGGTGTGTGTTGTGTGTGTGTGTGTGTGTGTGTGGTGATTGTGTGTGTGTGTGCTGTGCAGGGGCGTGCTACAGAGGGGCGCAGGGGCGTGTACAGGGGGGTCAGAGGGGTCCGGACCGCCTGCTCGTGCAGAAAACGTATTGCAGCGGGTCTCATTTTCAAATATTCTGGGGAGTGCCCCCTCAGACCCCCGTTATCGCGTCCTCCCCAAGTTGGGTTAGACCCCCCCTGCTACAAATCCTGTACACGCCCCTGGGGGTCCAGGGGGTCTGGACCCCCCTGCTCGCGCAGAAAACGCATCTGAGGGAGTCTAATTTCAAAATTTCTGGGGGAGGGTCCCCCCTTCGCGTAACTGGTGTCCCCCCCAAATTTCAAAATGGATTTGCGCGCCTGCATAATGTACAATATTATGAGAAATTGCTGTCCGCTGGTTTCCAGCGATTTGCGCGCATGTATAATTTCATGAAAAGCTGGTGGTTATCCAATGGTAAATGTATCGAGATGGCCGGAATTCGTGTAATGGTGCACCGTGCAGCTGATTTCGGTTCCTGATGGAACACGGTCTTGATACGAAAAATCCGAAGACAAATAATCGACAATACTGCGTCGCCACTAACCACTGCGGGCGGGAGGGACAAGCCGGACGTGACATGTACTTACAGCTCAAGGAGCGCTATAGAGGCAATGTTAGAGAATATTGAAGACAAATCCCTCGCCGACCACCATGCATGAGTCACTGCTTCAGAATAAGATTAATAAGCAAAGGTATTTATGGTTGCACTTATTGGTTGTTTCATAATTTCATTCCAAAGTGCAATTTCTTTGGCATTTGTCAGCGTGGATTTATCAAGAATCATCGTGGCCTGAGAACCAAGCGCACACATTCCCATACATGTCGGTAAATTTTAGTCGATGTCTGCCTCATGAGTCCAATGTCAGCAACGGAAGAGGGTTCGCGCCATTCATAACGTCACAGGTCACATCACATCCGAGCGTCTGTGACCTTTTGGGTCTGACCTGTTGGTCGCGGAACAACTTAATAACATCATATCGTTATCAAAGGTATAGTAGGAGAGTATAAAGAATGCACGCGGATAAAGGAGATGTCGAGAGGTAGAATGGGGAATAGAGAGATACTGTAAGATGGAGATATTGAGATGAATTATCGGGGGAGATGGAGAGAGATAGGAATAGAGAAAGGAAGAGTGAGATGGGAAGGTGAACAGGGGCGGGAAAAGGTAGGGGGAAGAAAGAGAAAGTGCATTTGAGAGAAAGGGCGGGGAGAAATATGACACGCGGAAAGGTGATATATAATATAAGGTCTTAAAAACAATAGGATGCAATAGGAATCTAGCACTGCAGAATCTACGCAAACATACCTATTTGCATCGTATTACATTATGGGCCGTTAAAATTGTCCACATTTCCTGATCACGCGCTGATTTCACTATGTTCTTCTATATACGATGTCACCAGAATTCGACAGGATTCCCCGTAAATAGTCAGTAACTGCAGTAATTGATTCGTCTGCAAGGTTTATTTTTTCAATTCGTTAAGATGTCATTTATCTTTGGGTACGGAGGGATGCTGACGCATAGATAACGCATGCATAGTAACCATGACTACGTTAATGAAGCGAGTAAGGAATATATTTCCCACGTAATTTAGCGAGTCGCAAGTCGTCCAAGAAATTATTAATAGTGATTAATTTATGCTCTCAGCTATCTGGCCTTGAAAATGCGGCGAATCTTGCGCTCATCATGACCGTACAGCCAACACGGAAAATACCAAACGTTACCCATTAATTCCTAGGATTGTTCTTAAAATATTAATTTGGGTTGACGTTCACACATCTACTATTTATGTTTCCTTATGTCGGGATTAGCTTAAAACAACGTCACATGAAACTTGCGTAGTTTTTGTTCGTCGCTGGCTATATGTTGTTTCGTGTCGAGCTTCTATATCGAGCTGTGAAAACATACGTTTAGGAATAGACTGATCCAGAGCGATTTGACTCGTTTTGTCTAAATGCATCTCTCGTGCGAGAAAAATGTGTTCAGTAATGACATGGAACTAATTAACCGTACGAGGCTGTGGCTAAATATTAACTTATAGCTATAATATTTACTGTAATATTATGTTACAAGTCTATGACGGATTCAGATATGTACATACGTATTTACTTGAGGCAGCTGCAGATCACCAAAAACTTTATATCGGAAAAATATCTATAATTCATGGTACGTAGTAGTGATATATTTCGGAGTATATTCATATAGCAACGGTTTCCAGTGTAATCCTGTATATAACTAAGAGACTGATTACAATTAGTTGCTCTAGTTATGGAAATATAGGGCGCAGTCAATCGAATGACAACACAACATCAGTTTAGATTTAATAAGGATACAAACGTGATTGCTTCAAGCGGTATTATACGCATATACAACTGCTTGAATCTGAGTATTGTCGTCGTATATAAATTTCTGTAGCAGCACTATAAGGTCATTATAATGACAAGAATACTTCTGTTTACCCCAAAATGGTAAGCGACTGTCAGCATAGGTGCCACCTGGAAACATATTATATATATATAATATAATATATTATATAGAGAGAGAGAGAGAGAGAGAGAGAGAGAAAGAGAAAGAAAGAGAAAGAGAGAGAGAGAGAGAGAGAAAGAAAGAAAGAGAGAAAGAGCGCG